TTTACAGATTACGAAGTCAAAAAGTTCCGACCAAAGTCCCCCTTTAATCCGACGGATGTCCGAAAGTTAACAAGAATAAAAAAAAGGCGATGAAAATAAAATAAATTATCTTTCTCACTCTACGGCGTCGTGATCCACAAAGTTTGTAATGAGTTCTCCCGTAGGCTAACAAAACCACTGTTTAAAGCTCCTAGCCACGTGAGCAGCACGCTTTCTCTCATATGTATAAAATTCCGCGTGCATTTCACGTGCTAAAACCCCGCGTGGGATCTAACAAATCGGTCCTTTTCCTGACAACTTTCACGGCTTTTTTCACACCCTGCCGCCCACTATGTACAAAGTATTGCCCACACTTTTCTCACTCGCAGTCTTAAGCTCTTGGGAGCCTCTCTCAGTTCTCCCTGGTTGCGATTTGTGAGAGAAATGGAAGGCAAAGGGTCGACTCTGGTTCATCTTCTTGTGGTGGTTTTGTGTTTAGTAGCTTTTGGGTTCTCCATTGCTGCCGAGAGACGAAGAAGTGTGGTATGAGCCAACCCCCTTTTTGAAATTTTGCTTCTACTGTTTGAATTATTTGTGCTTTTATGAATGTGGGGTTTTCTGAGCTGGAAAGTTTTTGCATCTTTGTGATTTGATGTTGTTCTTGAATGGAGATTTGTGCTGAAATGTTTATTGATTCTTCTTCTTCTTCTTCTTCTTCTATGTTTACTGCATTTTGATTCTTGTTTTCAATGGAGAGATATGATTCATTATTGATCTATAAATTAGTTGTTATTTGGATCTTTAAATTAGTTCATAAGTATCATCACGTCTGTATAACAGTCAGGACCATTTAGCTTTGCATTTTTGATAATTCTGAAAGATGTGTAAAGTTAAGGCATGAAAATTGGAAACAGCACAAATTTACCACTTGGTTGTACTCCCTGGTGAAGTAAATTGAATATGCATTATGATGAGGGTTATGTATACTTCAACAGGGGACTCTGTTTGAAGACAAGGAAAGGAACGCGACCTACTGTGTGTACGACTCGGATGTGGCAACTGGTTATGGTGTAGGAGGTTTCTTATTTCTTCTCTCTGGTGAATCATTGCTGATGGGTGTCACAAAGTGCATGTGTTTTGGGAGACCTTTAACCCCGGGAGGAAATCGGGCATGGGCTATTATTTACTTTTTATCCTCATGGTGAGAATTTCTTCTTCTTCCTTTTGTTTTTCCTAAAGAACCACAATAATGTGCTGCTATTTGTGGAACAAATACTCTGTTATGCTCTTAGCTCCTATTTTTACCACGATACATGTTATTCTTAGGAAGTTTGCATTCAGTTATCAATATTTTATTTTACATGTTGCTAGGTTTTTGGTTCTGTAACCCGATGAAAACTCTAGCCAATTGGATGTAAGAACCCTTGTCGATATGCAAATCCCTAGATCACATATACTAAAGCTTCAAATCAGCTCAAGGAAAAGTAAAATCTAGATTACCCAGTTGCTCAAATATCTTAAGGTATGAAAACTTATTTGAGATTCCAATCCCTCCATAAGTAAAATTAATCAAGTCACATGCAACATAAACTACATAGATGGCAAAGAGACATAGATCTAGGCTAAAAAGATGCACAAATTACTACTTTTTTCTAGCCTCTTTTACAAATACAATCATGAAACTCTTGTCCTTCCACGAGACGTTTCAATAGTTTAACCTTCAAAGTTTATGACCATAATTAACCATCATGTAAATGCATCTCAAAAGTAAATAAAAAGTATTAAAACTGAAAATACACTAATAAAACACTATAGATCCAAAAACAGTAGATAATCATCCACCTAAGAATTTGTAACCATCCTAGAATAAATGATGTCTCGCTTAAAATAGTTTAAATCCGTTAAGTTTGACTTTACTTTAACGTGGCGTAAAATGCAACTTAAGTTGAACTTTAACGAAACTTGACTTGTGTGTGTGGCATTGACATTGTTTAAGGTACTACAAGAAATGTGCTACCCTTTTTTCCTCTCTGCCATTTGAAATTCGAGGAGGAAGATAATTGATGTATTTAAAGTTTCCATGGGTGTTAAACTCGGATTATGCCTCGATATGTGGGTTTTCTTTTCTACGGATCTGTTGATAGCATAGGTTAAATAAATGTAGCTGACCCAAGTTACGAAACTCATATTTTATGCTACCTATAAACTTTTGCTGATCATAGATTTATATGAACTTCTATTTCCAATAGGCCCTTTTTTTGCACCATTTTGTTTAGGCGATGAGCCACACCTCAACTACAGGCTTGTTTTTGCTCAAGACTAAAATCTTTTTGAACATCTTACAAATCTTCAGGGCAACCTTTGTAGTAGCGGAAGCGTGTCTAATTGCGGGTGCAGCGAAAAATGCATACCATACAAAGTATCGAGGAATGATATATGCTCAAAACTTAGCATGTGAAACATTAAGGAAAGGAGTGTTCATTGCTGGGGCAGTGTTTGTGGTTGCAACCATGATTCTTAATGTGTATTACTACATGTACTTCACCAAGGCAACATCTTCTTCTCAAGTATCGCACAAAGCAAAGCGTTCGAGTTCAACGGTTGGGATGACAGGGTATGCCTAAATTCAATTCAATTCAAATGTGATAGGCTGGTTAAAGCTTCCATGATGGCCTTCATTGGTGGGTTGGTGATGTTTATGATTATTACTGATTGTGATATATAGTTTCATAGTCACTTTTTGTGGTTAAGATATGTAAACAAGTCATGTAAGAACAGAAAATGGTTTGCTCAAAATTCTGCAGCAATTTTCAAGTGGTTTGAAGCTGAAAATTTGAAGGTTATATTGATTTATATATGGTGCTTTTGAAGCAGGCTTCAGAATGCTGCTCTGTCTGCTCATATTCCATTTCAATTGTTTTCATGGTAGGGATTTTTTTTTTTAAAAGCTAAATTAATAAAAATATCCATAGTTTCTATTATTTATTTCAAAATACGTTTCAAGTTTAAAAAGTTTTATTAATAATACCTTCCACTAAAAGAAATTAAAAAAATATTATTATTATTAGTAATATATTTAAAAGATACTCTTCCAATTTTAAAAATAAAATTAACCTTCTTTATCTTTATAAAAAAATTCAAAAGAATTCTTTAGGTTAATATATGAATAAATATCATCTATGGACATTTCTTAGATTATTTTCAAACTTTTTAATATTACTTTTAAAAGTTTATGAATATTTTTTAATTTTTTAAAATAGTTTAAAAGTGTTTTTAAAATTTTTTAAAAAAATTTAAGGTGTTTTTGTAATTTTTAAAAACAGTTCAAGGGTATTAATGAAAATTTTAAAAACTCAAGGATATTTTTAAAACATTTGCAAAGTAAAGAGTATTTTTGAAAGTCTTTTGAAAGTTTAAGAGTGTTTTTGAAATAAAATGTTAACGGTTTCAAAAAAAAAAATGAAATAAAATGTTAACGGTTCAAAAAAAATAAAAAAGTAATGGTAAAAGTATTTTTGAACTTTTGTGCAAGTTTAAGAGTATTTTTGAGATTTTTTTTAAAAAGATTTAATGATACTATTGAAATTTTAAAAAGTTTAAAAGTGTTTTTGAGACAAAAGACATAAACGGATATTTTTATTAATTTACCTTTTTTATTTTATTTTAACCTATTTGAATAAAGTAGTGTTTGTTTAGCAATCTCACACATGAGTGGGGAGATAAATGTACTTGAAAAATATTATGTGCATATATATATATATATATATATATATAAAAGATTTTTAAAACTGTAAACTTAGATTAATCACAAATTAACTCTAATTTTCTTAGAAATATTATCAATTTAAACCAAATGTATGTATTGACTGAAAGGAAAAATAATTTAATAAAATTTTAAAATAAATCTTATTGGAGGGTAGAAATTGCATTACATTTTAATTATTAAAGGTAAAATTTATTTTTTTCTTTTTAAAAATGTGGTTGATCATAAAAAATTATTTTAATAGAGTAAATAAATATATTAAAAATAAGTAAATAATAATAATAATAAAGATAATATGTTTCTTCGGTCTCATACCCATTTCTATGTCCTCGATTCAAACATTATATACTTCGGTTCAAAAAGAAAAATTGTATGAGAAAACAGATAAAGATGTTAGAAAGCCTTAGTTAGTTAGAGTGTTATTCTCGAATGTGCTTTGTCAAGGAAGCCTTAGTTAGAGTGTTATTCTCGAATGCAATGGTTGTGTGGTGAGAATGTGTATCAATAAGCAAGGCCTATTAGCTCAATTGGTTAGAGTGTCATGCTAATAACGCGAAGGTTGCAGGATTTTTTTTCATCATTTACAATTCTATGTCTTGATTCCTCTCTTTTCTCAATCTATGCCCATTCACTTACGCTGATTAGCCGTTTATGTCGTTCGTTACTAGAATGTGCTTTGTCAAGAAAGCCATAGTTTATGTGTAGTAGGCAAATGCAATGGTAGTACAGTGAGGATGTGTAACATTCGGCAAGGCCTATTTGCTTAGTTGGTTAGAGCATCGTGCTAATAATGCGAAGGTTTTCTTTGTAGGCAAATGCAACGACAGTGCGATGAGTATGTATAACTTTTGGCAAGTCCTATTAACTTAGTTGGTTAGAGCGTTGTGCTAATAACGGGAAGGTTGCAAGTTCAAAACCTGCAGGGGCCAATTTTTTTCAGTAGGCAAATGCAACGGCAGTACAGTGAGGATGTGTAACATTTGGCAAAGCTAATTAGCTTAGTTGGTTAGAGCGTCATGCTAATAATGCGAAGGTCGCAAGTTCAAAACTTGCATGGGCCAATTTTTTTTCATCACTATTTTTTTCATCTAGAAAAGGCCTATTAGTTCTGTTGGTTAGAGCGTCGGTATTTTTATCATTTACAGTTCTATGTCTTGATTCATCTCCTTTCGAGAATGTGCTATCTCAATAAAGCCATAGTTTATGTGCAGTAGGCAAATGCAACGGCAGTACAGTGAGGATGTGTAACATTTGGCAAGGCCTATTAGCTTAGTTGGTTAGAGCATCGTGCTAATAACGTAAAAGTCGCAGGTTCAAAACCTGCATGGGCTAATTTTTTTTCATCACTTTTTTTTTCATCTAGAAAAGGCCTATTAATTTTGTTGGTTAGAGTGTCCGTGTCTTTTTATCATTCAGAATTCTATGTCTTGATTCCTCTCCTTTCTCAATCTACACTTATGCAAATTAGCCGTTTATGTCGTTCGTTACTAGAATGTGCTTCCTCAATAAAGCCATAGTTTATGTGCAGTAGGCAAATGCAATGGCATTGAGGTGAGGATGTGTAATGTTCGGCAAGGCCTATTAGTTTAGTTGGTTAGAGCATTGTGCTAATAATGCAAAGGTCGGTGGTTTGAAACTTGCATGGGCCAATCACTTTTTTTTTACTAGAATGTACTTTGTCAAGAAAGCCATAGTTTATGTGCAGTAGGCAAATGCAACGGCAGTGCAGCGAGGATCTATAACATTCGGCAAAGCCTATTAGCTCAGTTGGTTAGAGCATCGTGCTAATAACGCGAAGGTCGCAGGTTCGAAACCTGCATGGGCCAATTTTTTTTCATCACTTTTTTTTTTCATCTAGAAAAGGCCTATTAGTACGGTTGGTTAGAGCGTCGTGTCTTTTTATCATTTAGAATTCTATGTCTTGATTCCTCTTCTTTCTCAATCTACGATCGTTCACTTACGCAAATTAGCTGTTTATGTCGTTCGTTACTAGAATGTGCTTTCTCTTAAAGCCATAGTTTATGTGCAGTAGGCAAATGCAATGACAGTGAGGTGAGGATGTCTAATGTTCGGCAAGACCTATTAGCCTAGTTGGTTAGAGCGTTGTGCTAATAATGCAAAGATCACTGGTTTGAAACCTGCATGGGCCAATTTTTTTCATCACTTTTTTTTTTCATCTAGAAAAGGCCTATTAGTTCTGTTGGTTAGAGGGTCATGTCTTTTTATCATATAGAATTCTATGTCTTGATTCCTCTACTTTCTCAAAGTACGACCGTTCACTAACGCAAATTAGTTGTTTATGTCGTTCGTTACTAGAATGTGCTAATAACGCGAAGGTCGCATTTCGCAGGTTCGAAACCTGCATGGGCCAATTTTATTTCATCAGGTACAATTCTATGGGCCAAATTTGCCGAAGGTCGCAGGTACAATTCTATGTCTTGATTTCTCTTCTTTCTCAATCTTCGACCATTCACTTACGCTGATTAGCCGTTTATGTCATTCGTTACTAGAATGTGCTTTGTCAAGGAAGCCATAGTTTATGTGCAGTAGGCAAATGCCACGGCAGTGCTGCGAGGATTTGTAACATTTGGCAAGGCCTATTAGCTCAGTTGGCTAGAGCGTCGTGATAATAATGCGAAGGTTCATCACTTTTTTTTCATCTAGAAAAGGCCTATAAGTTCTGTTGGTTAGAGCGTCGTGTCTTTTTATCATTTAGAATTCTATGTCTTGATTCCTCTACTTTCTCAAAGTACGACCGTTCACTAACGCAAATTAGTTGTTTATGTCGTTCGTTACTAGAATGTGCTTTCTCTATAAAGCCATAGTTTATGTGCAGTAGGCAAATGCAATGACAATTCGGTGAGGATGTGTAATGTTTGGCAAGGCCTATTAGCTTAGTTGGTTAGAGCGTCGTGCTAATAACGCGAAGGTCGCAGTTTCAAAACCTGCATGGGACAATTTTATTCATTTCATCAGTTCAGTTGGTTAGGGCGCCAGAGTAAATGCAACAGCAGTGCAGTGAGGATGTGTAACAATTGGCTTCAGTTGGTTGGAGCGTCAGGCTAATAGGTTGCAGGTTCCAAACATAACTTTTTTTTCTTCTAGAAAAGGCCTATTCATTTTGTTGGTTAGAGCGTCAGGCTAATAGGTTGCAGGTTCCAAACATAACTTTTTTTTCTTCTAGAAAAGGCCTATTCATTTTGTTGGTTAGAGCATCGTGTCTTTTTACCATTCCCAATTTTATGTCTTGATTCCTCTACGACTATTCACTTACGCTGATTAGCCGTTTATGTCGTTCATTACTAGAATGTGCTTTGTGAAGAAAGGCATAGTTTATGTGCAGTAGGCAAATGCAACGACAGTACAGCGAGGATCTGTAACATTCGGTAAGACCTATTAGCTCAGTTGGTTAGAGCGTCGTGCTAATAACTCGAAGGTCCTAGGTTTGAAACCCACATGGGCCAATATTTTTTCATCACTTTTTTTTCATCTAGAAAAGGCTTATTAGTTCTGTTGGTTAGAGCGTCGTGTCTTTTTATCATTTAGAATTCTATGTCTTGATTCAATTCTATGTCTTGATTCCTCTCCATTCTCAATTTACGACCGTTCACTTATGCAAATTAGCCGTTTATGTCGTTCGTTACTAGAATGTGCTTTATCAATAAAGCCATAGTTTATGTGAAGTAGGCCAATGCAACAGCAGTGCGGTGAGGATGTGTAATGTTTAGTAAGGCCTATTAGCTCAGTTGGTTCGAGCATCGTGCTAATAACGCGAAGGTCGTAGGTTTGAAACCTGTATGGGCCTTTTTTTTCATCAAGAAAAGGCCTATTAGTTCTGTTGGTTAGAGCATCATGTCTGTTTATCATTTAGAATTCTATGTCTTGATTCCTCTCCTTTCTCAATCTACGACCGTTCATTTACGCAAATTAGCTGTTTATGTCGTTCGTTACTAGAATGTGATTTCTCTATAAAGCCATAGTTTATGTACAGTAGGCAAATGCAATGACAGTGAGGTGAGGATGTGTAAAATTCGGCAAGGCCTATTAGGTCAGTTGGTTAGAGCGTTGTGCTAATAACGCGCCAATTTTATTTCATCAGTTTTTTTTGATCTAGAAAAGGCCTATTAATTCGGTTGGTTAGTGTGTTGTGTCAATTTTATTTCATCAGTTTTTTTCATCTAGAAAAGGCCTATTAGTTCTGTTGGTTAGTGTGTTGTGTCTTTTTATAATTTACAATTCTATGTCTTGATTCATCTCCTTACAAGAATGTGCTTTCTTACTAAAGCCAGAGTTTATGTGCAGTAGGCAAATGCAACAGCAGTGCGGAGAGGATGTGTAACAATTTGCAAGGCCTATTAGCTTAGTTAGTTAGAGCGTCGTGCTAATAATGCGAAGGTCGTAGGTTCGAAACCAAAATGGGAAAAATTTTTTCCATCAGTTTTTTTTTCTTCTAGAAAAGGCCTATTAGTTTTGTTGGTTAGAGCATCCGTCTTTTTACCATTTACAATTCTATGTCTTGATTCCTCTCCTTTCTCATTCTTCGACCTCACTTACGTTGATTAGCTGTTTATGTCGTTTGTTACTAGAATGTGCTTTGTCAAGAAAGCCATAGTTTATGTTCAGTAGCCAAATGCAACGACAGTGCAGTGAGAATCTGTAACATTCGTGAAGGCCTATTAGCTCAGTTGGTTAGAGCGTCGTGTCTTTATATCATTTAGAATTCTATGTCTTGATTTCTCTCCTTTCTCAATCTACGACCGTTTACTTACACAAATTAGCCGTTTATATCGTTCGTTACTAGAATGTGCTTTCTCTATTAAGCCATAGTTTATGTGCAGTAGGCAAATGCAACAGCAGTACGGTGAGGATGTGTAACATTCGGTAAGGTCTATTAGCTCAGTTGGTTAGAGCGTCGTGCTAATAATGCGAAGGTCGCAGGTTTAAAACCTGCATGGGCCAATTTTTTTCCATCACTTTTTTTTTTCATCTAGAAAAGGCCTATTAGTTCTGCTGGTTAGAGCGTTGTGTCTTTTTATCATTTAGAATTCTATGTCTTGATTAATCTCCTTTCTCAATCTATGACCGTTCACTTACGCAAGTTAGCCGTTTATGTCGTTCGTTACTAGAATGTGCTTTCTAAATAAATCCATAGTTTATATACAGTAGGAAAATGCAATGGCAGTTCGGTGAAGATGTGTAATGTTCGGCAAGGCGTATTAGCTCAGTTGGTTAAAGCGTCGTGTTAATAACGCGAAGGTCGCAGGTTTGAAACCTGCATTGGCTAATTTTTTTCCATCACATTTTTTTTTCTTCTAGAAAAGACCTATTAGTTTTGTTGGTTAGAGCATCGTGTCCTTTTACCATTTACAATTCTATGTCTTGATTCCTCTCCTTTCTCAATCTTCGACCATTCACTTACGCTGATTAGCCGTTTATGTCGTTCGTTACTAGAATGTGCTTGGTCAAGAAAGCCACAGTTTATGTGCAGTAGGCAAATGCAAGGGCAGTACAGCGAGGATCTGTAATATTTGGCAAGGCCTATTAGCTTAGTTGGTTAGAGTGTCGTGCTAGTAACGCGAAGGTTGTAGGTTCGAAACCTGCATGGGCCAATTTTATTTCATCAGTTTTTTTTCATCTAAAAAAGGCCTATTAGTTCTGTTGGTTAGAGAGAATGTGCTTTCTCTATAAAGCCATAATTTATGTGCAGTATGCAAATGCAACCGCAGTGCGGTGAGGATGTGTAACATTTGGCATAGCCTATTAGCTCAATTGGTTTAAGCATCGTGCTAATAATGTGAAGGTCATAGGTTTAAACCTACATGGCCCAATTTTATTTCATAGTTTATGTGTAGTAGGCAAATGCAACAGCAGTGCTATGAGGATGTGTAACAATCAGCAAGGCTTATTAGCTTAATTGGTTAGAGCGTCGTGCTAATAACGTGAAGGTCGCAAGTTCGAAACCAGGATGGGCAAATTAAAAAAAAAAGGCCTATTAGTTTTGTTGGTTAGAGCATCGTGTCTATTCCTCTCCTTTCTCCTTCTTCGACTATTCACTTAGCTGATTAGCCGTTTATGTCATTTGTTACTAGAATGTGCTTTGTCAAGAAAGGCATAGTTTATGTGTAGTGTTTATGTCATTTGTTACTAGAATGTGCTTTGTCAAGAAAGGCATAGTTTATGTGTAGTGTTTATGTCATTTGTTACTAGAATGTGCTTTGTCAAGAAAGGCATAGTTTATGTGTAGTAGGCAAATGCAACCGCAGTGCAGCGAGAATCTGTAACATTCATCAAGGCCTATTACCTCAGTTGGTTAGAGTTTCGTGCTAATATCGCAAAGGTCGCAGGTTCGATTCATCATTTTTTTTTTCATCTAGAAAAGGCCTATTAGTTCTATTGGTTAGAACGTCGTGTCTTTTTATCATTTAGAATTCTATGTCTTGATTCCTCTCCTTTCTCAATCTATGATCGTTCACTTACGCAAGTTAGCCGTTTATGTCGTTCGTTACTAGAATGTGCTTTCTAAATAAATCCATAGTTTATGTACAGTAGGCAAATGCAATGGCAATTCAGTGAGGATGTGTAACATACGGCAAGGCCTATTAGCTCAGTTGGTTAGAGCGTCGTGCTAATAACGCAAAGGTCGTAGGTTCAAAACCTGCATGGGCCAATTTTTTTTCGACTATTCACTTACGCTGATTAGCCGTTTATGTCGTTCGTTATTAGAATGTGCTTTGTCAAGAAAGCCATAGTTTATGTGCAGTAGGCAAATGCAATGGCAGTACAGTGAGGATCTATAACATTAGACAAGGCCTATTAGCTCAGTTGGCTAGAGTGTCGTGCTAATAACGCGAAGGTCGCAGGTTCGAAACCTGCATGGGCCAATTTTTTTTCATCACTTTTGTTTTTCATCTAGAAAAGGCCTATTAGTTCTGTGTGTTGTATCTTTTTATCATTTAGAATTCTATGTCTTGATTCCTCCCCTTTCTCAATCTACGACCGTTCACTTACACAAGTTAGCCGTTTATGTTGTTCGTTAGCCGTTTATGTTTTTCGTTACTAGAATGTGCTTTCTAAATAAATCCATAGTTTATGTATAGTAGGCAAATGCAATGGCAGTTCGGTGAGGATGTGTAACGTTTGGCAAGACCTATTATCTCAGTTTGTTAGAGCGTCGTGCTAATAATGCGAAGGTCGCAGGTTCGAAACTTGCATGGGCCAACTTTTTTTTCAATCATTTTTTTGATCGCTTGTGGATGTATATAATAAAATGAGGTAAAATTCACAAGAATAAGTGCAAGTATCAAGTAATAAGTAAATTATCGATTCCACAGGGAACCTATCTTTTTGGTTAATTTTATTGCTGGAAATTAAGTGAGTTTTTGGGTAACATTCAGATGGGTGTTGGAGATTTTAACTATTTAAACAAAACTAAAACAGAGTGCCACTGCTGTCGAAAAACAGAAAGGATGAGAAAATCAACTATAATGAGAAAGGTTCGGATCAGAGAGATTAAATAGATAAGTTGTTGAGTTTTGCGGTAGATTTTAGTTCCTTTTAATAGATTCTCAAGCCCACTTTAGAGGGTCATGAATGGTGACTATTTCCTTGTAATTTCTATTAACAAGGCTCTAGGAGAAGAATTATTCCTAACCATTCTATCACTCTTCAAGTCTCTTGAAACTAGAGTGTTAAAGAGGATTTTATTGCTCTCTCTCTCTTCTCCCAAATAAGAGAACAACTATGTATGTAAAGTAGCTAATTAAACATACATGTAAATCATTAACAACAACTCCTTAATAAACTAAAATCATACCGTCAACCTACTTAAACTATATAAAACTCTCTCGCCTCCCCTATTAAGTTTAGCTCTCCATACAAACTGAATTAAACAGAGGAATCCGCTTCTTCATCATGTAAAATTGATGGAATAAGGAAAGAGAATAAGGAAATAGAGAGTTATCCCGGTTTGCTGTCGTTCGTCAATGGAAGTTTCCTTCTCTTGAGCTCTCACGTCCACCTCTTTGCCCTAATCAATCCTTGTTGGTCTCCTTTTCTTTTTGCTATCAACCGCTGTTGGATTAGGGTTTTCTTCTTCTTCTCTGGTTTCACAGCAGTTCACTGCAGCAGAGGCTCCTGCTGTGTAATTCAATTTTCTCCCCAAAATGTGGCTCTCTCTCCTTGGTCTTCTTTTCCTTTCATATTGAGCATGAGTTTCAAAGGGCTAAAAATGAATAAGTTGTCACTTACTCATTGGGCCTTTAGGGCTGAAAAGGAATAAGATGTCCACCTAGATGTTACTCATAGGGTAATCAATGACCCACATGGACTGGTGATGTGGATTTAAAATTTCCATGTCAATCACCCATTTATTTCTAGACTACTCCCTCATGGTTCAACATAAATGTCTGAAATTTACCATATAACTCAATTAAATGTATAATTAAAATCGATTTATGCAAAATCATATTTTTTTTTCATGTTGGACCGCAATAAACGATTTTATGCTCACTAAAGTAGAATAAATTGGGTAAATAATGAGAAAATTGTATAATTAAAATCGATTTATGCAAAATCATATTTTTTTCATGTTGGACCGCAATAAACGATTTTATGCTCACTAAAGTAGAATAAATCGGGTAAATAATGAGAAAATGGTGAATACGAGTGCCATATTAAATACAAAAAAACTTGATATGACTCTACTTTTAAAGTGTTATCATTTCTCAATCTTCGACCATTCACATACACTGATTAGCCGTTTATATCGTTCGTTACTAGAATGTACTTTGTCAAGAAAGCCATAGTTTATGTGCAGTAGGCAAATGCAACGACAGTGCAACGAGGATCTGTAACATTCGTGAAGGCCTATTAGCTCAGTTGGTTAGAGCGTCGTGTCTTTATATCATTTAGAATTCTATGTCTTGATTCCTCTCCTTTCTCAATGTACGACCGTTCAGTTACACAAATTAGCCGTTTATGTTGTTCGTTACTAGAATGTGCTTTGTCAATAAAGCCATAGTTTATGTGTAGTAGGCAAATGCAACGACAGTGTGGTGAGGATGTGTATCGTTCGGCAAGGCCTATTAGCTCAGTTGATTAGAGCGTCGTGCTAATAACGCGAAGGTTTCTTCTAGAAAAGGCCTATTAGTTTTGTTGGTTAGAGCATCGTGTCTTTTTATCATTTACAATTCTATGTCTTGATTCCTCTCCTTTCTCAATCTACGCCCATTCACTTACGCTGATTAGCCGTTTATGTCGTTCGTTACCAGAATGTGCTTTGTCAAGAAAGTCATAGTTTATGTGCAGTAGGCAAATGCAACGGCAGTGCAGTGAGGATGTGTAACATTCGGCAAGGCCTATTAGCTCAGTTGGTTAGACCGTCGTGCTAATAACGCGAGGTCGCAGATTGTGTCTTTTTATCATTTAGAATTCTATTTCTTGATTCCTCTCCTTTCTTAATCTACGACCATTCACTTACGCTTATTAGCCGTTTATGTAGTTCGTTACTAGAATGTGCTTTATAAAGAAAGCCATAGTTTATGTGCAGTAGCCTAATGCAACGACTGTGGAGTGAGGATATGCAACATCAGGTAAGACCTATTAGCTCAGTTGGTTAGAGTGTCAATGCTAATAATGTGAAGGTTGTAGGTTTGAAACCTGCATGGTTCAATTTTTTTTTTTTTGTCTTTTTATCATTTACAATTCTATGTCTTGATTCCTCTCCTTTCTCAATCTACGACCATTTACTAACGCTGATTAGCCTTTATGTCGTTCTACATGGTTACTGCTTTGTCAAGAAAGCCATAGTTTATATATAGTCGGCAAATGCAACGGTGGTGTGATGAGAATTTGTATAAATTAGCAATGCCTATGGGTTAATAATGCAAAGGTTGTAGGTTCAAAACTTGCCTGACCTATATTCTTTTTCATCATTTACAGCTTCATGCATTTACAGCTTCATGCCTTAGATTCTTCTCTACGACCATTCACTTGCTGTTTTTAGAGTTGTTCTTCTACATGGTTACTAGAATAAGCCATAAGGTTTTGTTAGCTTCTTATTGAGAAAGCCATAGTTTATGTGTAGTAGGCAAATGCAACGGTTGTGTGGCGATGATTTGTATCAATAAGTAAGGTCTATTAGTTTAGTTGGTTAGACCATCGTGCTAATAATGCGAAGGTCACATGTTTGAAACTTGAATGGGCCAAGTTTTTTTCATCATTTACAATTCCATGCGTTGATTCTTCCTCCATTTTTCATCCACAATAGGCCTATTAGCTCAGTTGGTTTGAGTGTTTTTTCGATAGTTTATGTAACGCTCCTAATTTTTTAGACCTAACTAGTAACGTCACCCATGCCTACATGACATATTAAGCGGAAGCTCATCATAAATAACCTTGGAAAACACAACAAAGTCTCTCATAAAGGTCAAAAAATCCAAAATAAACCTTCAGCAGCGAGAAATAAAACCTTCAGCAACTGAATTCAAAATAAATCTAAATAAACAATGTTGAATGCTTTAAATTAAATCAGTCAAATAAACATAAACTACTAAAAATGTCCCTCGTCCATTTCCATGGTGTCCTCAGTTCCACCGTCAACCGTACATTGGCGCCTTGCCTTTATGTGGCTTGAGTATTTGCTTTAATTAAATCAGTCAAATAAACATAAACTACTAAAAATGTCCCTCGTCCATTTCCATGGTGTCCTCAGCTCCACCATCAACTGTACATTGGCGCCGTGCCTTTACCTGAAAAATGCATACCTGAAAAATGTAGGTAGTGTTGGGTTTTATGTCCTAAAACTCATAGTTGGTAAACAAAGATATATTCTATTTTCAATAAAAGTTATTATTGATGTTTATTCAGAAAAAATTGTTATTGAATAAAGTGAACTTTACGACCATTAATCTAAATCCAATAAACTAAGAACACTCTGGCTATAGTATGATTACTTGAACTATATGTAGAGACATAAAAGTGGATCAAGTCCAAGTATATAGTCAAAATGATCTATAGTACAAGGATAAGGCTGAGTACCTTATTCTGGGGACACTATGGATGTGGCCCACTTTTGTATATGATATAAACAATGTGATCACTAAATTGTACATGTGGAGACATGTGAGTGGGGGCGTCCTATGCAATGAGTATTGCATAAGATCGGACCATGAAGAAAATCACTCTCACTTTATAATGTCGTTTACTGTTGAGACTGATTTTCTTTTCATTTGATGACCTAGGTAACTCGATCTTAATCCTGAGCTAACCATGAACTCCTGTTCATTCGGAATTATCCTTAGATTTGCATGGGTGAGAGTGGCTCGAGTTTGCCGACTCAATAGGCCTCCCATTTCAGGGGTAAGACTGGGTGAATAGCTGGGGACGTGGGGTGCAAGATGGAATTCACTCCTACCCCATTTCAGGGGTAAGACTGGGTGAATAGCTGGGGACGTGGGGTGCAAGATGGAATTCACTCCTACCTACTTTTAAGAGAGGTAGTTCCCTTAAGTACTGACTCCAGGTCTTGAACAAGGGGCCCCACCTACTCATTGGCCTGAGAGGGATTCGGTTTACTGGTTGAACCACAAACCAATTGTTCATAAGAGGATCAGTGGGACATAAGGAACAAGAAGTAACTTCAGGGGTAAAACGGCTAATTGACCCAAC